AGAAATGGGAACAAGAGAGCCATCAGCAATGGATACTCTATCTCTATCGGAGGACAAGTGATAAGTAGTGAACAATGACGGAAAGCTAGTCATATGGTCGGATGCACCTAAATCTATTACCCAACAGTGTTTAGTATTACCTGGAGCTGAAGCATGGTAAGCTAAGGCTCGAGTACCTGAATGTGCAAAGCAGATGTGGCAAGGGCCGTTGGTGACTGAGATGGCTGAGTTGAACTCCCAACTTTCTTTTCCAACTGTATTAGGGCAGCCCGAACTGTAGCTAAGGTCTCTAGGGGTGTGCCTTTTGTGCCTGACGAGGATGTTGAATCAGTATTCACAGCCACATGAGCATTACCCTTCTTATTTCTCAGTTTTGCTAGGACCAAATGAGGATGCAGCTTCCAACAAGTATCTTTTGTGTGCTTGGGTTTCTTGCAATGTTCACATACCAGGTCCCGTTTATCTTCATTCTTCCTATCCCTTTCTGGATCACCCCCTGACTTAGGTTTAACAGCTGTCAGGGCTGGGGAAAGAGGCTGAGGTTGCATCATGACTTTCCGCTTGGTCTCTTCACTATGCATCAGGGAGTATGCTTGAGAGAGGGTCACACTATCTCTAGTCAGTATCTGTTGCCGCACAATGTCATATTTTGAATTTAGGCCAGCCAGAAATTCAAACACCCTATTTGTCTCGACTTGCTTTCCGTGAGTCTGTGCATCTCTAGGACTCTCCCACTCAAGAGTTTCTAGGTGATCAATCTCATGCCACAGGGATTTCAAGGTAGAGAARTARACAGAAACTRGTTTMTCTCCTTKTTTAAGACTATTCACTTCACACTTCAGTTCATAGGCTCTGGCAACATTAAGGGGTTGGGAATATGTTTCTTTCATAACATCCCATATCTCCTGGCTATCTTGGCCCACAAGTAATTTCGGCTGATATGTGGCTGCATAGAATTACACAGCCATGCCATAACCAAGTAGTTCTCTTGAACCCACTTGGTGTACATCGGGTCCTCCTTGGAAGGTTCTTTCACATCTCCCAAGAGGTAGCCCAGTTTTCCCCTTCCCCCAATAGTCATCATGGCTGATTGGGCCCATTCCAAGTAGTTTGACCCGTCAAATCTCACAGTTGTAATCTGAAACCTAGTTTCAGATATACTACCATAACTGCTGTTCCCAAAACTACCTTCTCCCTGATTTTTAAACTCCATCTTTGGTCAAGAATCAATAGGTACGAACTGTTAGGGTCACTACAACAGAAAACTGCACTTGGACAGTCGATCACAATCAGAAATCAGTATGGAATCAATGCAGGTCTGATCTTGAAACCAATCTGTAATCACGGTATATGCATGAAACTAGTGCAGGTCTGATCTGAAACCAATCGGCAACCACAGTATATGCATGAAACCAGTATAAATCTGATCTGAAACCAAACGACAATCACAATACCAAGCAGTCCGTACAAGTTTTCACCCCCTAAAAGAGCTTGAAACCAAAAAATAGGTCTAAAATCAGCTTAGAGAGCAATCTGAGATGCTGGAACAGAATTAGGGTTTCAATCGTAGGTCTGAAATAAGTGCTCAGCCGCACTTTCCAAGCAGTCCGTACAGTTAAGGTTTTGTCGTAGGGTCAATGTGAAACCCTAAAACTGATCACCTCTGGGAGAAAACCCTAAAACAAGCACTTTCCAAGAGGATAACAAGAGTTCGGCCCAACAGAAAGGTTTGCCGCAAGGTTAATATCAAACCCTAGAATAGAGAGAAAACCCTAAAACAGTTCGGCCGCTCCTTCTAGATAGGTCCAACCTATCTTGACTGATAGCAGTCTCTAGAAAATAAATAAGACTTACCCAGAGAATGCTGTTCGCTACCTTCCAAGGTTGCCTGAACCCTAGCCTTCTCTGATTCTTCCTGATTACCAACCTCTGCAAGCCGTGGCAAGTCTTCAACAGCTGCGAACCTCTTCTGGTAACCTCCAAGAATCAGCCAACGTATACTTCTTCATAAACTTCCAGCCCTAGATAGTTCTCATGTGGTCGGCTGGACTAGACTCACATGAGAAACCCTAGATAGATAGGCTTTGATACCTAGTAGACAATCAAGACTACAATCAGCCTTGAACCCTAATAGATTTCAGATTAGGAAAAGTAGAAGAAAAGAAAGAGAAAGGAAAAAAAGAGAGGAGAAGAACTGGAGAAAACAAAGGTTGAAAGAAGGGACAAATTCAGAATGATCTTTCGCTGCCACTCTCTTAGTATTTATAGGTTAAAGCAAATAAAAAACTGAAATAAATAACAACTGAAATAACAAACTGACCACCAACTGACACTACCATGACTGAAACAAATAATTACACATACTGTCCTACGAACACAGTGGGGACCACAGCTGTGGGGCCCACATCAGTGTTCTCTACATGGTTGATGAAGAGATCATTCTTATTTGTATTAAAGGTGCTCTCTTCATAACATTATGCATACCACTTTTCCAATAAAATTCATCTTCTGTCTAAAAAAATTAATATTTAATTATAGAACAGTAACATTAGTAAGAATTAATATAAAAGATCACTGCTGGCACCGATGTGATAGAGTCATCTGATGCAACTTGAGGGTTCTGAGACTTCAGGGGTGGCCAAGAATGATGTAAGGTTGTCTTATTAATAAAAGAACTAGACTCAGGTTGACAGGACATATGACCTTTGGTGGAGTGGAAAATGGGATTCCTGTAGTCAAACCTGAATTGCTAGGATAAGTTCCCTCCCCTCCCCCCTTTTTTGAGTTGATTTGCATTGAATGAAAGACCAAGGGTAGGACATCTATTGGAGCTATCAGATCACTTGCAATTACATTGCCACCACCTTTGCTCAGGTTATTGTGGCACTTTCTCCTCAATTCCTCATGCAGCGGGTATTGAGTTTGACACTTTGACTCAAGACAACTGAATGATTTCATATGTGAAGTCCACTATATATTTCTGTGAGAATAGTCTCCTGACTATAAAGGCTGATAAATTACCTTTTTAGACATAAAATATAATGAAATTGCAAATGTATTATGAGAAATAACAAATAAACTACTGGGTACTATTGTAGTAAAGCAATATACATTAAACATATAGATGTATAATTGGTTCGGAACAGCCAAAACCAGTCCCAACCTAGTTATAATTAAAACTGAGATGCAAAACCAGAACTGCTCCAGCTATAATCGGGACAAAAAAATAACTGGTTGGCTTGGTTTGGTTCTGTTGGGTAGACCTGACCCATTGACAGCCCTTGTGTTGACTCATCAGAAAAGGGATGGACTTGTATAAAAAAAAATTACTTGCACTAAAAATTCTGTGTTCTTCTCAAAATTCTTTTATCAATTTTGAAGTTCTTATGATTTCACAGAATACATATGAAGAAACACGTCTTAACGAGTCAGATGTCGGTGACAAGACAAAGTGGCTGAAAGAGGGAATGGACTGCAATGTGCTCTTTTGGAATGGAAAAGTAAGTAAGATTTGCATTGCTATTCATATATTTTTCTTTTTATAGGAAATGAATCTGCTAGAAGGTCATCTAATTAAGGAGTCAAAATAATTGGAATCTTCCATGCGTCAATCTGCTTCGGCCCTGCATTTTCCTCTCACCGCTTTCTATTCATGGGTAAATTTCAGCTTAAATCCCTTGACACTAGGTCAAAATAAGATGCCCTTGTTTGGGCATTTTTTAGTTTAGTTACTCAAGGAGAAGTCCAATAGGTGTAAGGATGTTTCCTCACATGGCAGAAATAAGTAGGATTGTCTGGAGCTGATTATGAAACCCTTCTCTTTTTCTTTTCCATTTTAATATATCATCTGTCAAGCATAAGAACTTGGATTTTGAGTCG